CCTGAGGCATATTTTTTATTTACATCATTTTAGAAAGCTTGTTCTACAGTCGAAGGACGATATGCTGTATTATAAATGTTTGGAGTAGTTAAAGAAGGATGAAAAATCAGTATCAGTCTTTATAATCGTCTTCGTATATGCTTTCTTTACTAAAAAAAGTTTAAAATAAATATTTATGAAATGGTGTTTCAAACAAGTCCGACAGGAGAGATAATCTAATATTTAAGAGCCTGTATTTCCAACGGAATTGAAGAAATACCACATACCATCTCCATTTTGGTTTCGAATCGTATCTTATATTCTTGCATTATACCAAAATAGAAAACAGCTTTTAACTGTATAATATATTTTTAAAATGTGGTAATTATCAATGAGTATACTGTTCTTTAGAGTCCTTTAGAATACCAGAAATGGTTTGATTGTACGTATCCTACGGAAAGTTATATCTATTCTCTAAAAATAATAACATATGGTAAATTATTCCAAGACTATTTAAACCTTTGACTACAGATAGCTTACACACCGTAAAATGGATATTATATCAATATATATCAAATCCAATGTAGGCCAATGTACGTATGTTTGTTTGTTTTGATTTATGACAACTGCTAATTTGCAACCAAAAGGTGAGTGAGCGTAGCGAAAAAACTTCAACCTGAAGGCGAGTTAACGTAACGAACGAGTTAACCTGAAGGCAAGTGAGCGCAGCGAACGAGCTCCAACCTAAAGGTGAGTGAGCGTAGCGAACGAACTTCAACCAGGGCGTGATTGAGCCATGCGAACGAGCTCATTTTGAAAATGAGCGAGCATTTGACATGAAACCACATTAGGACAGGACGACGTCTGTCGGGCCAGCTAGTTGTCAATAAAAATATGTATGCTGGAATAATAACTTGAAAACTGAATTAAGGATCGAATGAGTTAAATATAAAGTGTGTGGCTGAAATTTTTTATTTCTTTCTTAAACCATATTCGTGACTATGCTAAACTGCTAAAGCAACGTGGGTGATGATGTTAGCATATAGTGATGCTTGGGGACCCCAACCATTATCACAGTATAAAGATAAACTGACTTTAAATACTTAAAGTTCAGTGACTTGAATCTGTCGTTAATTGAACAAAGTTCTTTTTTAGGAACGGAATTTCTACTTCATAGTAATGTATCTATAGTACAATAATCTATCTAACAAAGACTCGTCTGTGTTCTCAGTGTTCTGAGTAAGAGGTGATGTTTGCTATTGGATCCGAATTCAAAGATTTAAATAGAACAAAAGAAGGACGAAGTCAAATGACTTAAAGTAAACTGTGCATTCTGACTGTTGACTCCTGTTAAACTTAGCTTACCTTCCAGAAAGTGTTTGACTGTAAATATGCTACGGAAACTTGTTTCTATTCTCTAAAAAATAATAACATATTGTAAATGATTTTTAAACAGTTGTGCCAACCTTCTAATTGTGTTAACTGCGAACAAGTCTACATTTAATGAACCAAAAACAGAAACAGATGCTGTATATATAGAGCGAATTAAGAAAAAAGAATTATTTATAAGTGATCCTTTATTAATCTGAATGGATAACTTTCTGGCTTTGGTGGTTTTGTTACATGACTCCAGCAATGTTATAGAATATTGAACATAATTCAAAACGGAATTTCAATTACATTAGTGCCCATGGCTGGTATAATGTTACATCATCCACAATTTAATCTCGTATTTGATTAAACCGAATTTACTGCGCATAGTAAAACAGTATGTTAGAGTATTAATATTACAAGAAATTCAGAAACATATGACGAAAGGGATCTCTTCCTCTATGAACTTTCACTTTTGGATTTTAAAATTATTAATCAAAACCACATACATACGTTGTATTGCAGGAATAAAATAACGACAATTTATAAAACAGGTCACTGTTATCTTTTATAGTGTTTTATTTTGTTATTCATTGAAAAGTTATGTTTTTTGCATTGATTTTAGATACACATTCCATAATATTAATCGTATGTATTTTCACATAATTCTTCCATAGAAAAATAGTGACACGATAAATGAGGCAAGTATGTGACTTGTTGCTCACGACGCGAGGGTATTTGTCAGGATTCAGGATAAAACCCTGCTGAAGTTTCTCTCAGATTCTTGACCATTTCATCGTGAAAAAGAAAAATTCTACAGAACTCTTGAATCAAATAAGAGTAAGAGTTTAATGAAGCATATTAATTTAGTACTATAACCAACAGGTAATAATGTCAATCTACATTTCTATTCCAAAATGCATTAATTTGCTAATTATAATTCGTACAAATTAAAAAAAACTATTGCAGAACAAACGACCCTTAAAATATGTTGGACTTATAGGGTCAAATACTACTATATTTATGAAATAAATTTAACACTACGCGTTTTGTTTCACAATGTTTAGTTTACAATAAACCATTAGTTTTTTGTACTATTCGATTTTACAAAAAATGCTTTACATTCGAAAATGAGTTAACACAAAAAAACATACAACAGCTAGGTCAAAGGAATAGTCTCATACATACTGTACAACAGGTGCTGAAAACACACTAAAATACTGAAAATCGTCAAGTTCCATCGCTTAAATTCATTTCATTTCATTTTCATTTTTATTAAACGGCAAACACCATTTTACAAGTGGGTTTAACAAGATTACATTATACATTGTGCATTATACATACATACCAACGACAGAGACATTTGAAAATGAGCGAAAAACAGTTTCCAGCTTAAACACAAAATCAATAAGACAATCGATAGAAAAATCAACAATAAATAACAATATAATACATAACAATATAAATAAATAACAATCCCGTTATATTACAAATTATTATATTACAAGATATTAATATTCGAGAAGATAATCAATCAACAATAGAAATAACACAAATAATTGAAAGGAATATATCATTAAAAACTATAGAAAACAACAACAAGGAGTAACAACAATTGATAAAGATTAAAAAAAATTTAACAGGGATTAAAATATTAAGAATGAAAACGATACAGTGATAAATCTCAGACAAAAAGAAAAACTTGAATTGACAGAATAATATTGCTTGGCAGTTGGCACTTCCTCTCACTGATTGTGTGGCCCTTTAGAGGCACCACCAAAAACACACTCACTTCACTGCACATGTGGCACTTGAAGTGTGGCCCTCTAGAGGCACCACCAAAAGCACAAAGACAACAATTGCCTCCAAGACAAACATAATTGTGTTTTTCAACGTCACAATAACAAGAAATGGGCACAGTTTCTTAACTGGGCTACGCTAATATTTATTGAAACTATCAAATTTAAAATATTGTTTAATAATCGATGTTTTTAAATATATCTATTATAAAATTAAACTATCATAACCTAACCTAACCAACCAAACTTGCTGATAATGAAAAAATCGCATGCAGGTTTATTTATTTATTTATTTATTTATTCATTTCGACGGCAATCGCCATTTTACAAAATAATACATTGACAAGATTTACATGCAACAAGATAATACAATGGAAAACATCAATAAATGAGTAAGAAGTTTGGTGGTGGTGGTGGACAGTTTGAGTAAAATTGCAACAGTTACAACATTGTGAAAAAAAGTAACAATAACAAGAAACAGTGTAAATAATTAACATCCATAACAATAACAAGAAACAGTGTAAATAATTAACATCAATAACAATAACAGAAACAGTGTGAATAATAAACATCAATAACAATAACAAGAAACAGTGTAAATAATTAACTACAATAACAATAAGTGTGAATAATTAAACATCAATAACAATCAGTAATATCAAAATGACAACATTGTAAATATTAACATTAATAAATTTACTATACATAACAATAATAGACTATGGCAATAGATAACAACATTTGTGTTTACTAATCGAATAGATAGCTTCAATCAATATTAGCGTAGCCCAGTTGAGAAACTGTACCCCAAGAAATTATTTACCTGCAAGCACAAGAAATACGTCAAATAACAGTTGTAATAATATAATTACACTTATACTGTTTACTTACAAGACGGTAAATAAAAATAAAAGATCGTAAGTGGTGATCGATTTCGATTGGACACTCCAATCATAGACCCAATAGGAGAAAGACAAGAATCAAATTAGCGTCCTTAAATAGGTACTATTGGCTACTACTTACTATTAGCTACAGTACATTTAAGGGACACCATTTTGATTCTTGTCATTCACCTATTGGATCTGACGATGATTGGAGTGTCCAATCGAAATCGATTACCACCTACCATCTTTTAAACGTATATCGATTTGTGAGTAAACAGTATAAGAGTGATCATATTATTACACGTTATTTGACTATTTTTTGTGCTTTCAGATAATTTAATAGAACGTACGATGCTGATAAAGAAGTTATTTAGAAATTATTTAACTATTTCAAATCAAATCAAATCAAAGCTTTTTTGCCAATAGAGAACACAATTGCATGTGGAATGGTCAATGAGAGGTATTATGTTGGTAAACATTTGTCAAGAAAGAGTACAATGGATGTAGAGTACAAGGTCAAATCAAAAGGTACAAAGAGAATACAAAATGCATGCAGATGAGGATAACTGGATAACTATAAGAGAAAAAGTACAAACATTACTCAATATGTAATGGTCTGTGTTACAACTACACGTATCGTAATTACGTCCACTAACCTGTTATGCATTTACTAGACTGCTTGTCTCCGACGTCGGGCTGTGACGTCAGCTGTTGTCGTCATCGGTGGTCAGTGTAGCCAATACATAAACTTAAATTCCTCTTGCTACTTTACTTTAATAATATACTACACTCGCCCCAACTTAAAATCAAGCTCTTCCTTTAATAGGCCTAAATAATAATCCTAGGCCTAATACCAAAAATCCTTAACCAATTTCAAAGTCCATAGTTCATTGCATTTAACTTAAAACTTTTCTTCAAATAACTCAAAATAAAAATTACTTCTTCAGTTACACAGTCGACTGTTTACTTAAAGATCAAGCCTCCTCGGCTTACGAACGGCCCGTTGAGACCGTCTAAGAAGTTGCGGGCTTGACTGCACTTCATGTATTTCTTCAAGTCTTGGTAGAGGGCTAGATGCTTCTGGCAGGCTTCGCCTCTGATGTGAGGGCGTTATCGCCGCTGGCTGAGGGCTAGGTATCTTCACTGGTGAAATAGGCCTAACCGGAGGTGATGCCTTGACTGGTGATGGCTGTGGAATTCGCCTATCCACCAAAGTCTCCTCTTCGTCTCCCAGAAGACTGGAACGCAGATGGTCCGCATGACAGAACCGGACCTTGCCTAACACACTTACAACATAAGTCGCAGGGCTTCTTTGCTCCATCACTTTTCCCGGAACCCAGGACACATGCTCCCCTCTGACCGTCTTCACCCACACCTTATCTCCTTTGTCAAAATGTCTAGCATCACCTCGGATGCTGTTTGCAGCTGAACGTTGCTGTTCCTTCTTTTTATCAATCACTGACAACAAATTAGGCTTAAGTAGGGTCAATTTTGTTCTGGGTTTCCATTGGAGAAACAACTCGGCTGGTGAGAGTCCAGTTACTGTGCTGGGTGTGTTCCGGTACACAAACAGGAAGTTGTCTAATTTATGCTGTAAGGTAACACCTTCCAATTGACTTTCTAACACTTGCCTATGCAGATTTTTCTTTACCTCTTGCACACATCTTTCGGCCACGCCATTGGACGCAGGGTGATAGGGGGGTGACAAGGTGAATTTTATACCATTCCTACTCAGAAACTCCCTGAACTCGGCACTCGTAAAATTAGGTGCATTGTCACTTACCAGTTCTTCCGGCAACCCATAAGCAGCAAACAAGGTTTGTAATCTTTCAATGGTTTTGAATGATGTAGTTGATTTCATAAGAAACACTTCAAGCCATTTTGAAAAACTGTCAACTATAACTAACAGTTGTTGTCTAGTTTGCGGATCTTCCGCATAGTCAATATGAATTCTCTGCCACCTGTTGGTAGTTCTAGGCCATTGATACAGTGGCACCTTAACGGCAGCATTTCTAGTGCACTGACAAACAGTGCAGGTAGACACGGTTTCCTCTATATTTTTCTCAAGACCAGGCCACCAGACGTAGCTCCTGGCTAACATTTTCATACGCGATATTCCTGGATGCTGGTCATGTAGTAATCGGATTACAGCACTCCGAAGTTTTTCGGGCACGACTACTCGTGCTCCCCAAACGACACAATGGTTGTCAACCGACAGTTCATCCTTCCTTCTGAAATATGCAATTAACTCAGGTTCATCGGCCGAACGCCAACCGTGCCAAATAAAGTCCCTTACTTTTGATAACACAGGATCCCTATCAGTCAATCTAGCAATATCTTTAGCCGTAATAGGTGTGTCGTCACTCACCAATTTGTAGCAGCTAAATACTTCCACCACATTTTCCACGTGAGAGAGGTGATTGGCCTCCAATTCCATGGTCTCATCATTGGGCAGCGGCAATCTTGAAAGGGCATCAGCATGAGGGAGATCCACCCCTCGCCTGTACTTCACCTTGAAGTTATAGGCTGACAAAATCAACGCCCAGCGTTGAAGACGAGCCGCAGCTACACACGGCACTCCTCGCTTACTTCCAAAAATGGCAACCAAAGGCGCATGATCTGTCTGCAACACAACATTTGAACGACCATAAATGTATTTATGGAACTTTTTGACTCCAAACACAAGCCCCAACGCTTCTTTGTGAAGTTGAGAGTAATTCTTTTCACTTGCACTCAAAGATTTTGAGGCAAACGCAATTGGTTTTTCCACACCGTCAATGAGATGAGAAAGTACTGCTCCAACACCCCGTGGGCTCGCATCACATGTCAAAGGTTTTTGCACGTCATAGTGAACCAATACATCAGTAGACAACACCCATTGTTTACTCTGCTGAAAAACCTCTGAACACCCTTTAGACCATACCCAAGGTTCGTCCTTTCTAAGTAGGTCATAGAAACAGCTTATTTTATCTGACAGGTTACAAATGAATTTACCATAATAGTTGATTAGGCCTACATAGGCCTTGAGCTCTTCCTTACACGTTGGTTCTGGAGCGTCACGGATCGCTTCCAAAATACCTTCCTGGGGACTAATTCCCTCTGAAGTCAAACAGTATCCCAGATATTGAACAGAAGGCTGTAAAAATTTACATTTGCTTTGGTTTACCTTAACTCCATAGCTTTGAAGTCGCTGCAGAACATGTTCCAATCTTGTTAGAGCCTCCTCTCGGGATGATCCACCAACCAACACATCATCCAGGTACGCCACTGTACCTGGGAGTCCTCCAATTATCTTGTCCATCGCCGCCTGGAAGAGGGCCGGGGCTGACGACAAGCCATATGGTAAGCGACGTAGCCGCACGAGACCTTTATGTGTCGCCAATGTCAGAAGTTCCTGAGACTCCTCTGCAACAGCAAGCTGGAGGTACGCCGCCTCCAAATCCAACACAGAAAAACATTTACAGCCCGCTAACGAGGCAAATATATCTTCGGGCTGCGGCAACGGATAATGTTCTGACTGTATAACCTGGTTCAGAGTAACTTTAAAGTCCCCGCACAAGCGGACGCCTTGTTTCTTTTGTATAACTACTATTGGGGTAGCCCACTGTGAGCTTGTAACAGGGTAGGCAATACCTTCGGATATCATCCGATCAATCTCTTGTTCAACAGAAGTACGCAAAGCGTACGGAACAGGTCTATATTTACAAAACTTAGGGATAGAGTTTTCTTTTAAGACTATCCTAGCCTCAACATCTTTGATCTCCCCCGGACCACCTCTAAATACAGAGACATATTTTTGTTTTAATGCCTTAACCTCATTAGGTTCTATAGAAACCTTTCCGGTTAGGTTAGGTGAAACCCCATCTTTGGCTGCCTCATTAGGCTTGGGTTCATGCCTACCAGTAGCGGTTGCGCTAGCAAAATTACATGAGAAAATTGATTTCCAATCTAAATCAATGTGCTTAATCCAGTTTCTTCCTAAGAGCATTGGTTGGTTAGTACGATTTATTTGAACCACCATCATAGGCAAACAATAAGAATGGTCCTTGTAGTCAACATTGACTTGAGCTTGCCCAGTTACTATGACTTCGTTGCCGGAATAGGTTATCAACTTAATATCTACAGATCTCAATGGAACGTGAGAAAAATATTTCTCAAATATTTCCTGAGGACACACTGACAGTGCCGAACCAGTGTCAATTTCCATAACTACAGGCACATTCTCTATAGCTAGCCTTACCTTGTAATCAGAGTTACTTGAGCATGAACCAATATTATATAGAGACAAATTTTCCACATCCTCATTTATGTCTAGGCTAGGCTTCCCTTTATCTTCCAGTTGATACACCTTATACCTTCCTTTTAGCTGGCTTTTTACGGCAGTTTCGCCTTTAGATTTGCACGCCTTGCTAAGATGGCCTACTCTTCTACACAAATTACACCTATAATTACTATAAGGACACATATGAGCCTTATGATCCCAACTTGTGCAACGATAACACTTTATCTTGTTATCATTATTTTTCTCTTCAAAAGATTTTAACTTGTACCCAGCAGGATTCCCACTTTTCATAGGACCACGTGCACACTTTTTCACACTAAATTTGGAAATATCTTGCACAGGATGATTCCCGAATAAGCCTGTTTGCCTTTCAGCCTGTTCTAGCATGAGCGCTTGAGCAAAAGTTTTGCTCAAATCTAATTCTTCGGAAAGCAACTTTTGCCTTATTCCATCATTACTAATGCCTGATATTAGTTTGTCCCTCAAAGCATCATTTAAGAATGTACCGAAATTACAAGTACTGGCTAAATGTTTGATAGCGACCATAAAATCCGCTATTGACTCTGCCGGTTTTTGACAACGACTATAAAACGTATATCGTTCCGCAACAACGAGCCTTTTAGGAGCAAAATGTTCTTCCAATGTTTTACTTAGGCTTTCGTATGTTTCATCGTCAATCTTCTTAGGGGATATTAAGTCCATTAACACAGCCAAAATCTTAGGCCCAATCACTGTTATCAAGATGGAGACATGATTCGTCGACTTGACATCGTTGGCCTTGAAGTAATGCTTGAGTCGTAATAAATACGAACTGATGTCCTCTTCGTGGGGATTAAATTCCGAAACTCTACCGATACTCGACATTTCGCACTTTTGCGGTTTTAAAGAACGCACTTTACAAAACTTTCACTAGTTTTACTGCGACAAAACCAATATTTAATCCGGCGACTGCGCCATTGTTACAACTACACGTATCGTAATTACGTCCACTAACCTGTTATGCATTTACTAGACTGCTTGTCTCCGACGTCGGGCTGTGACGTCAGCTGTTGTCGTCATCGGTGGTCAGTGTAGCCAATACATAAACTTAAATTCCTCTTGCTACTTTACTTTAATAATATACTACAGTCTGGGAAGTTCTAAAAAAATCGTTAAGTTTGTAGAATGGGTTCTTTACTAGCCACATGTGAATATTAGCTTTAAAAACTTTGTAAGGAAGTGATAGCAATTTGTTGGGCAATTTATTTAGACATTTTAGGCCCAGAATTTTGACTTTTCTTTGTTTTACTTAGACTAACATTGGGTATTATATATCAAATTGATGTCTGTTTCTAGTGTAAAAATCATGAAAATCACTCCTTGTGGCATAGGAGTCCATTTCCTTCATAAGTCATGATACTTTACGCTTATCTTAACAGAACGGGGTGATGCTGCGTCACTCTGTGCAATTTGAAACCTTTTCAATCCAAATACAAACAAGCTCTGCTGGTGAATAGGATTGTAATAAAATATAAGTAAACTTCACCCCTGGGGTTCTATTATCACTCGTTACACGGGAGGCCCTGTTATCAGATAGGATACAATAAGATAAAATTGTTGTATAATTTATATATATCACCGTAAAAAGGTATTTACGCCAAAACTAGCACTTTATCAATTTAACTGTTTCTAAGATAATATCTTAAAATTTTGATATAAATTGGAAAGAATACATATTTTCTCAGGAACAAAGGTAAAGCAGGATTGACATCCGTTCTACATTTGTTGTTAATAATCGGCTCAGTGATCAATTTACCATCTATATCTTATAAATATTGGTTATACTCTTCTGAGTCGGTTCGGCTCTTCTACCCCACCAATATTTATAGTTTGGTATAATTAAAAGTATGCACACACAGATTGGCCATTAATGAATCTACTGTTTTACTCAACCAAAAAACAGAAATTGGTTTTTTTTCTTACTTAAACTAAATATGTATTTCACCAGTTCTAGTTACATTATCTTATATGTTTTGGTCTAGGAACCTTCAGTGGAATACCAGTCTTCATTTGAGCTATTGAATACTAGGATCGGGAATACCTGAAGCACGCTGCTGAATCCCGATACAATAATTGTAATTATTTTAGGACTTATCTGCAATAAATGATACCTAACTATATTTTTATTTTAGTAGTTTTATACGTCTTGGTCTTAAAATACTCCTATAAATAAAGGCTTAAAATTGAAATATTGATCGTTTGAATCAGTTAAGTTTAAGATACTGTATTACGCAATCAAAACCCAATTTCAACGCTGCGGAGCAGCACAGGGTCCTATAGTTTAATATTATAAATAAATTACAATATCAGATCTGTAGTTCTTTGAGTAGGCCTACATCCTACACAGTAATGAATTGCTACTCAAAGCCATCTAAAAATAAGTTACCATTTACCATTAAGTAATGCGTTTTTATTTAAATATCAATCATATTTAAATAATACAAATAGGTGTATATAGTATAGTTTATATTTTTTTAAATGTGTTGTTGGCCAATTATTAAATACGAATATTGAATTATTGTATAAACCAGTTTCTTCTCTTTCTGACATAATCCTTTTGAAACCAGATATTGTTTTTACTTATTTTATATTGATAATTAAACTGTTTATAAATTTATGTGATTTAGTTATAATGATTTTATAGTGCAAGCATTATAGATTTATTAGTTTCCTCTTTGGCGTCTTACCTGCAGAACGATTGGAAACAGAAAAGAAAACCTTAAGTAAATCTGAATGTTTTAAACTTTAGATGCGTTGAGTTAATTAGGGTAAGTGTAAGAAAATTAGTATGAGAGGGAGTTTGCCGGAAACCTGATTGCCACTCAACCAGTATCGTAAACAATTGTTGGGATACATCCTTAAACGAATGCATCAGATCACGGCAGAGCTTAAAATGGTCGAGATACTCCTTAAAGCAGTGACTACAGTTATCGGATCAGGTCCGGTCCTCCAAAATACGGAACAATGCTTCCCATATTTTTGGAGGCGGCTAAACTTTTTCGCCGGGCTGGACTTGGCCGAATCGGACAAGTGAAATTTTCTGTGTAAGCACAACATCAATAGCACTATCCAGAAGAAGGGTTATGTCAACAAGATATGGGGCCTTTTTTACAATCATTCAATATTCGATTTCAATAATTTTTAAACAACAGTTTCAGCAACTAAAACTACAATGTTTAGTAATTTGTAGGCCATTTCTTTTCGAAATTAACAGCATTTAACAAAAAATTATTTTAAAACACAAAATAAAGTTAAGAAATAATGCAATATAAAATTAAATTAAGACAAGGTGTTTTAAAAAGTAATTAAATGACAATTAAATTATTCTTTGTTTCTATGAAACCTCTTTATTTGTTAATAATATATTTTTGCTTATTCTGAAAGTTACAGTTCACGGGACTATTACAATGTTTTACTTTTATACTGTGTATACAACAATAGTAGACAGTTAACAATAAATCATTCACTTTAGTAATAAAGTTTCTTAAACTTAAGAAACTTTAGTCTTGTAAATAAGCGATTGAAAGTTCCATCAATTCAATGTTGGTTGGTATTCAAGAGTTTTATATAAATCATTAAGCCAACTCGCTTCGTGATCAGTATTTTGTATCTTTGATGAACAACTTGGAGACTATTCAAAGACAACCCTACCTAACAACATCACTGAACTACAAAGCATTCCCTGTGTAGTGAAAGGGAATCTGTACAACGTTACAAGTCACATGTTCACTGATGTATTCGTTCGTAATATACACGTGGCTATATTAACAATGTAGGACCAGCGAGCAAGGAATACCAATATTGATATATTGGTATTGCATTTAAGTTATTCGAGTTTTAAGGTCCAGTTTAAGTATAAGGAATATTGGTATTCCTTGCTCGCTGTGTAGGACTAATAATTCATCGAATATGGTTTCCACAAGTACTTTTCATTTCAATTTCATAGTACTTTTTTGTTTCAATCAAAATCGAGTCCAATCCTCGAAAAAACATTTCAGACACTGAAGAGAAAAATATTAAAGGAATTCTTAGAGAAATGCTTGGAAATGAAAAATACCCCCGCCGCAGCAAACCTGCAGACTAAGCGAATTTCCATTTGCCTGATTTACATGGATTTACACTAAAATGTCTCCTTAAAAAAATCACATTTATTCCCTATTTAAATAGCATTATTTTAATGAGTAATTAGATTTGCTGCAACAGGGAGGGTAAAAAGGTTTTTTTTTTGTAAATTGTTAATAGTTTAGTATGAAATGAACACATTTTCCAAATTTGATCAAAATATGTTCATAAACAAGCAAACTACATCAGTTTATTTATTCTCCCTAAGAATAACATGGGAATTTTAAATTTACAGTTTTTTGGAATTTTCTCCGTTAGGCGCATAATAACGCTTCAATATACTAAATTGTTTGTTTTTTTAAGCTCTACAAAATGGTTTGGAAAGAAATTACTAAATTTTAAGTGTTTAGGGTCAAAAATGGGAAAATCAATTTTTACCCCATAAAACCCCCCATATACCCCTGTTCCCATAGTCCGATCATGCCACTGGCTGTGATGCAACGACATAGTCCCAATCACTCACTCATTGTTTAAATTGCCAGTTTTGAATTGGTCTAAACAGCTGATAAGTCGACGTTCGAAGGATTACGATTTTCCTTATTTTCTCTCAATTCTTGAACACCATTGGTCCAAACTTGTTCTGTAAAGTAACAGAACAATACTGTAAAATAAGTAAAAAATACTGGAAAGCGAATCCTTTTAATTCTAAGAACTGGTTTGAAAAGGATAGCTTATAAAACCGTCGAAGGTAAAAATATTACTGACATAGAAACTGTCATTTTAATTTTGAATACAAAAGACCAAAACAAAATGCTCCCAGTAAA